TGTTCAATTATAAATTTGGGACAGATGCATTTTAGTCGGTGTCGTCCCATCTCGGGACCTCCCATCTCGGGACCTAGGGAAAATTTACCTGTTTCTGTGAGAAGAAGAGAAGGCACATGTTGAGGCAATTTGAGAGACAAAGGCTCTATTGTTTCCATAAAAAAATAACAATGGTGTTTCTATTGTTCTATTGTTAAAGTGATTTAGACATGACATTTTGACAAAAGCCGCGCATATATCAGGACGTGTGAGTAATGTTTTCTATTGTCCTGGCTTTATTGTTCTATTGTTAAAGTAATTTAAGTATGACAGGTTTATTGATTAAAAGCTTAGGAGGCATATCTCAGAGCGTGGGAGTCAGTAAAATTTGAAAAAATATGTTAAGAATGTTTTTTATTATTAGGGGGATTAAAAAAAAAGCACAGGTGTAACACACGTAAAGCTAGCCGACAGTAATGTGTACTATTGTCAACAATGGTCCTGGATTTTATTATTCTATTTTTAAAGTAACTTAGATATGACAGGTTTTGAAATAAAGCTTGGGAGGCATATCTCAGAGCGTGAGAGTCCCTATATTTGGAAAAATATGTTAACAAAGGTTTTTTTATTATTAGGTATTTAAAAAAGCACAGGTGTAACACACGTAGCCGACAAGACTAGACTCGTTTTATTTAAATATAAATTATAATTTAATTTTATTCAGTCTTTTTAAAACATTTGGTGGTTAAACATAAGAATGGATTTATCTTTTCAGCATCCATTCTGCGCTCTTGTAAGTGGCCCAACATCTTGCGGGAAGACGGTATTTACTTTAAATTTTATAAAAAATATTAAAGAAATGTGCAATGTTTAATTTAAAAGTATAATATGGTATTACGATGAATGGCAGCCCGGCTACGAAAATAAATTAAATATTAAATACACGCAGGGCTTACCAAACATGAGCGATTTTAACGGTTCCGAACCAACTTTAATTATAATAGACGACCTAATGAAAGAAGCGGGTGGTGCAATTGTGGATATATTTACAAAGGGAAGTCATCATAGAAATTAAGCGTATTTTACATAACACAAAATCTTTTTCATCAAGGAAAAGGTCAGAGAGATATTTCATTAAATGCCCACTATATAATTTATTTTAATAACCCTAGAGACAAAGCGCAGATTTCACATTTAGCAAGACAAGTATACCCTGAAAACTCCCGATTTATTCAAGACGCATATTATGATGCAACGACTCGAGCTCACGGATATTTACTACTTGATTTAAAGCAAAATACACCAGAATCTTTTAGAATTAGAACAAATATATTAGTGAATATCCTACAATAGTTTATGTTCCTAAAAAGGGAAGTAAACACGAATCATATGCTGAATATTGTATTAACCCGGTGTAGTTATGTCAACCATCTTAAACCAAGTTAAAACCTGTTACAAATATTTTAATATAAAAGAGTATCGTATAAACTAAAACATTAGTTGTACCTGTAAACTTTAAAAAAGGTGTGTGCTAAAGTCTTAGCTTAAACATGAATATTGATTTTACCAAAATGCGTAATAAATGGTCCCAAGTGTTTTGTGATACACAAAGGTTTAAAAATAATTTTAATACAAACAAAAAAATTAAACCGAGTAGTGCTAAAATAGATGAGAAATGCAATAATATTCAAAAACACATAGAATATTTAAAGAACATGGATAATAAGGTTGATAAATCTTTAAATAGATTTCCAACAAGACAGGAAATACTACACGATTTTAAAAAGAGGGAAAATATTAAAGAGTGGATTGAATATAAGGAAAATTTGGAAAAATATAGCCGTATTTATGGAGAACATTATGAAGCATGTCCCTGGTCACTAAGCGATGCTGAAGATGGTCCCGATACATGCGGCTGTCATAATTTAAGATCATAATTTTTAAATTTATATATCTGTATTTTATTGTATTAAATGTTTTGTGATTACTTATAAATAAATTTTGTTTAAAAATATTATGTTTTTAAATTAATAATCCATTCATTTTAAAGCAGATTTACATATAAAAGAGGAAGGAGGGGGGTAATATACTATATATATTACAACGTATTTTTTAAAAATAAATCATTTGACCGCTTTGACATGTGGTGTAAAGTTTAGACAAGATTCAACAGGTTTTTATTTAAATACAGAATTTAATTTAAAAAAATAACAAATAATATTATATATACTTTTTTATTTAAAATATAAGTTACTTTTTTTAAACTATCGTAATGAAAATTTGTTTTGCGTAGATTTTATTTAAATATAACTTATATTTTTAATTTTATTCATTCTTATGGCAGCCTAGTTATACAGAAAATAAATTAAAAACATGGTAAATTGATTGTGACTTTTTTTTAAACGCAACTAATTAAAAACGCGCATTTTAATTTAAAAAAATAACAAATAATATAGGTACTTTTTTATTTAAAATATAAGTTACCTTTTTAAACTATAGTAATGAAAATTGGTTTTGAGTAGATTTTATTTAAATATACCTAACTTATATTTTTTTATTTGTACAAATAAATACATATTCATAAACATAAAATGGATATTTCCGTTTTTGTGGGATTGGTCCAATCTCATGTAGAAAAAACAGTACCTAACGACCCTAAACACTACAATGCACTATCTGGGGTGGTTTCTTAGTTTTTGCGGCCAAATAAATATGCCAGATTAATTAGATATAGGTGATAAGGGCGACATGCATACCTCTGTACCTGTTTAGGCCCCAGGGTAGAAAATAAAATTGATAACGAATGTCTTAAAATAAATCGGTCGTAATGAGCCAAAATTGATACTTTTCGTGATTTAAATAAACTTAATACTGAATTTCAATTAAATAATGCAAAAATAAATAATTTAAATATTAATAGGGATTATGTTTCAAAAAATATTTTTAATGAATTTTATAATTCTAAACGGGGGCCTTTACGCACAGTTTGTTCAAAAAATATACATTAAAAAATAATTTAAATTTTATAAAACCAGAATTAGTTTATTTAGGCAATAATTCAAAATTCTTTTACATTTTAATATTTGAAACAATAAAAACGATTCTATATTTAATATGGTTTTTTACCCAAAAAAAATAATAGAGATTTTTGTAAAAATAATGCTATCTTTAACTGCATTAAAAATAATTATATATCAAGATGCTTTTGAGGTATGTAACACATTGGGATCGTCTAGATTAAAACATATAATAATTGGTGTTTATTTTGTATTAGGAAACATTCCTCCATGGTATAGGACCATATTCAACTTTTGGCTTTGGTTTATGAGAAATATGTTCAAAAATTAGGTTTTAATGTTATACTAAAAAGGGTTATAAAAGATATTTCTGTTTTAGAAACAGAGGGTATTAAAGCAAGAAAAAATATAATAGTTAAAGGTATAATTTTATACTCTTTAGGAGATAACTTAGGAAGTCATTCTTTGGGTGGCTTTGCCGAAAGCTTTTCTTTAGTAAACAATTTTTGAAGGACTTGTTACATTTCAAAAAATGATCCCTATTCAACTTCTTACAATAGAAAAACATTATTTAGAAAGAAAGAAAAATTCTATTTTAAACACATTAAAATTTTATCACGTTTGTAACCATGGTCTTCCCCATATGACTTAATATTATGTATAAAAAAATTAGTTCAACAAAACATATTTTCATTTTTAACTTTAAATTCTTGCTTAAAAATCTTATGTTTATTAATGAAAAAAATATTATTTTCCAATTTTAAATGAAAAAAGTAAACGATTGCTGGGAACTGCATCACAAAATATGAACTTATTAATGTTACTTCCTTTTGCCGTAGAAATTATAATACCTTAAGGGAAAACAAAATTTGGCACATGATTATAAAATTAAGAAGTATTTGTAAAATATTATTAGCTTTTGAGTTATCCATAGAACAACTTGGTATTTTACGTTCACTAATATTTAAATACCTGGAAGATCGACAATGTTCCGAATCTCTTAACCCCAAACACCATTTTTTAAGTCCCAATCCGTATTTTATTATTATTTTAAAAAACTGTTAAACACACAACAAATTTTAAAAATATTTTATTTACATTAACAAATAATCATCAACTTTTACAAACCTTAAATTTTAACAGTGACACTTTATACTACGAAAATGTTTTATTTGACGAAATCCATTTATTTAATAATGATTTTGCTCCTGAAATATTAACAAACAAAGATTTTAATGTCTCACAGACTTATATATCGTGGCATAGAATATAAAAACAGGTTCAGATATTTGTTATAATAAAAATCAAAACGGTAATTTTCTTTTATGTAAAATAAAATATATTATTTTAAAAGACAATTTTAAAGAACCATATTTTTTCGGAACTGAAATTGAAATTATAAAAAAAATTCTGATACTGGGTTATATTTTTTAGCCAATATTGGTAAATGTGTTTTTGTGGAATTTAGTCAACTTTTATGTTATGACCCATTAATAGAGAATTTAGAAAATAAGTATTATTTTAAATCGGCACCTTACGATGATTTATTTCAGTAATTAGTATATTAATTACTTAAATGTAAAATTCTTTGGTGAGTGGGTAAAAAGGAATAGGTTAAAATTGATATTTTACGTAAAATGTTTAAAGATTCTTCGCCCGCTCACAAAGGGTTTAATGGTTAACTTTATTGTAATAGTAATAAATTGTAATAAACCAAGCTTTTTTTATTAAAATTAAACTTTGTAGAGTAGTTGTCAATTACACTGCTAAAAAATAATTCTTAACTAATTGGCAATTCTCTTTAGAGCACACACCATATGTTTTTAAGTTTAATTTTTATTATTTATTTGTAATAAATTAATTTTAAAAAATTACTGTTTTACACATCTAGTAATTACATTTTAAATTTTCAAATATTTTCTTATAAAATATTTTTTTTATACATAATACATTTTATATACATATATGCGTACTTGTTATGTGATTTAGAAAAATTGAACTAAAATGGAAAGAATGGCCTATAAAATATGGAATCAAGAGAGATCCAAAAAGATTTGCCTGATTTTAAAGAAGGAAATAGCAAATCTTTATGAAACAATCATACTTGAAGGTAAGTTTTTTAGCTTTTTTAGCAAAGGATTTATTTATCCAGTAAAATTATAAATAAAAACTTGTTCATTGGTATACCATCAAAACGTTTACCTAAACTTTTGGATGATTTGGGTAAATAATAATACCCAATTTAAATAAATAAATATAGCTTTTTGTATGTTAAAGATTTAGCATTTATGAAAGCAAATGAAGAATTTGCAGTTGTTTACGAGATAAATACATAAACCAGTAGCTGCAGTATATTTTTATCCCAGTAAAATATTGGCGAAGTGCACTTTAAGACATGTACAGTTATATTTAAGAGATAAGAAGACTTTGAATGTGATTTTTTCACATTATTTAATTTATATATGGTACTTTATATCTATATGTTACAAATTTAATAATGAATATATATATATATATCCTTTTTTTGCACCATATAAACTTTTAAATTTTAATAATACATATCTTATTTTTTAAATCGTTTAACAAGCATCGAAAAAATTAAACATCGATGGAAATGTCATATGCTTAGAAAAGGATGGCACAGTTTTACAAGAAAAAGAGGAAATTGAGTATTTTTCTAATGAAATATTTATTCTTGTAACAAAAAATGAAAATTGGATGCCCGAATCGGAACAAATGCAAATAATTACTGTTCCAAACAATAGCGATACAGACAATTCTACCATTACATTTAGTTCAGAGAAGTCGACCGAAGAAAGTTTGGATACTCAAAATTATAATATTTTGTGGGATAAATTCCTAATTCCATGGAAAAGACTTCCACAAACATTCTTAGAGAAGCTTGAAAATACCACCCGTAAATCATCTATTACTTCCAGGGTAGTAAATATAATTGTTGACGAAATGAGGGAAATAAAAAAAACCATCCCCATCAAGGTTTTTAAAGAAATAGCAAAACAAATCGTCGATAAATATTCTAATTCATTTCAAGATGTTAATGAAGATGGAAATATTTTTGGTAATGGAATTGGATCATTGGTGACCAAATTTATTGATCGAAATAACTACCTAAATCGCCTACATAAAAAACAAATTGACATCAATGTACCAAAATTAAAGAGGCAGAAATTACTGTTAGAGCAGGTTGTTCCAATTGTGAAGGAGAAATGGATTCCGAAAAAGAAAATGATAGCGATGAGAGTGATTTTGTAGACTTAAAAGACTGTGATTATAATATTTTAATGAAATATTTAGTTAAAAATTATTCTTTACAACGAACTTTTTTAAATAATGAAAATCAACCTACGGTAGCAGTTATAAAATCTATGTGGCCAATATTTACACAAAGTTCAAAATTTATTTTTCTACATTTTAAAAAGTTGATTGGAACCAACTTAGATGATTTAAGTAAACATATAAAATTAAAAGGATCAAAATTAGTATCATTTGTCATAGCAACAAAATTAATAGAAGAAACTAAACAGGAACAAACTGAATATATAGCCCTAACAGTAGTGGCAAAGTATTTTAAAGACTGTATAGACAACATTTTGTATAGATTTAAAGTAAGAGTTATGTTTTTATTTTCTCTTTAAAATTTTAAAATAGTTTAGATTGATTAGATTATTAAAATTTATACTATTTACAATTTTGTTATTTTCGGGAGAACATCACTGATACAGAGATAAATTAACATATTTTAATAAATGAATGCTGTTTGGTAGAAAAAGGTAGGTAAGTTGTATTTTAATCTACATAATATGACGATTTTAAAATCTGTATCCTTATATTATTTACAGATTATAAAATTTTCCTTGAGACACTTGCCCATCAAGTTTCTGTAATATTTTTGTGCGAATTCTAATCAACCAATTTTAAATCCCTATACCAATGTTGGCGTCAAAATATTAAAATAACATACATATATAACTACATATATGGGCAAAAATTAATTAGTTATTTGAGTTTGTGGGATAACTTCTATTTGTAAAGGCAATTTAAATGGTAAAATCCGTATTTTGCGAACAGCAGTTAGGAAGATAATGCATATTCCATCTTTTAAAAATACTACTTTATTCTTAAAAAAAAGTGATTCGGTAATACTTTTTTGGGATTATTATGACATATTGACAGCTTAATCTGCAAACAAAACAACTCAATAGTAAAGTTTTTACAGTAGCAAGTTAAGCGTTTTATATAGTAGAAACTTAAAACTGTCTTAATTATTATTTAGCATACTGTATGGATTTTCCATATATTTAAAGTCTTTTAAAAGCCTCATTTTATAGTAAGTTTCCTTGTTTGCATTTAATTTTTACACTGCAAATTTTATGTTGTGAAAATATTTAGAAATACCGACTTTCTCCCCCCACATGTATTTTTACTATAAATGTAATAAATAATTTTAAAATTTTAGGATCAATCCCATGGGTTTACTAAAAAAAAATGCGAGTTCATTAAATGTTAAAGCTTGTTAGACGCAATTCAAGTAATGATGGGACTATATTTCATGCTGAATTTACGTTTCCCAAGCAAGGTCCAAGCCACCATGGAGTTCATTCAAAGATTTTTACTAAAAATTCATCCCGATAGTGGATGTAAATCCAATTCGAGAACGGTGAAAAAATGTTTAACTTTAACCAATAAATTAAACAAATTTTAGTATCAACCACCTCATGAATGATTGTATGTTTATTTTTAAAATTGATGTACCTATTTTTTAATTATTTTGTTTTTTATGGGTGCAAAAATGCGACAAATTTTGTTCTTACAATTTTTTTTATAATTTTATTTTTTAAAAATTATGTGTTTTTAATTATTTTTAATTTTTTTTTTTAAATAATGTGAATTTTAATTTTTTTTTTATGTTAATTTTATTTTTGTATACATGTAGGTGCTACTTTTTTATTATTTTATTTTTATAATGTATGGAACATTGTAAAAACCTGTTTTATGTATGTTATTTATCATGTACCTATTGTTGTTTTTTATATTATTTTTTATTTTGTATGTGTGTTGGTTTGTTTATTTATTTATGTACTTTTAACCATGTTCATTTTTATTTTAAGAGTTTGATGTTAAGTTTTTGTATTTTTTTAAATAAATCTTACCTATATTTACTTACTTTTACTTTATTATCAAACTGGTAATTTATTTTTTAGTATGTATTAAAAATATTAAACCTTTACAAGGTGTTAAAACATTAAAGATTAAACAAATAAAATATTTATATTTAAAAAATGAAAAATACTTAAAAACTTTTTAAAATCTTAAATTAAAAGTTAAAATATTATTTCTTTAAATGTAACTTTGTTTCAGGAGGAAGGTGTGAAATAAAAATTGTGTTCTGAGTACAAAAATGTGTATAACCCACATCCGATTTTTTTTTGTTATCAAGATATTATATTTAAACAGATTTTGTACTCAAATATTGGATTACCATGACATTTATCGGCATTTAATAAAAATGTTAAAAGCAAATATCAAGTCAATATAAATTTAATATTTTGATTAAGAAATAAAAATTTCTTTTTATTATTTCTTTACATGATGAAATTACCTAATTAAATTTTTGTTAAATGCAGAAAACTATGACAATCTAATCTTTTTTTTTAAACCTTTTAAATTTAATGTCTCGTTAACAAAATTCAATTAGGTACTTTCATCATATAAAGAAATGATAAAAATAAATTTAATATTTCGATTAAATTAAATGCAAACAAGGAAACTTACTATAAAATGAGGCTTTTAAAAGACTTTAAATATATGGAAAATCCATATAGTATGCTAAATAATAATAATAATAATAATAATAATAATAATAATACAGTTTTAAGTTTCTACTATATAAAACGCTTAACTTGCTACTGTAAAAACTTTACTATTGAGTTGTTTTGTTTGCAGATTAAGCTGTCAATATGTCATAATAATCCCAAAAAAGTATTACCGAATCACTTTTTTTTAAGAATAAAGTAGTATTTTTAAAAGATGGAATATGCATTATCTTCCTAACTGCTGTTCGCAAAGTACGGATTTTACCATTTAAATTGCCTTTACAAATAGAAGTTATCCCACAAACTCAAATAACTAATTAATTTTTGCCCATATATGTAGTTATATATGTATGTTATTTTAATATTTTGACGCCAACATTGGTATAGGGATTTAAAATTGGTTGATTAGAATTCGCACAAAAATATTACAGAAACTTGATGGGCAAGTGTCTCAAGGAAAATTTTATAATCTGTAAATAATATAAGGATACAGATTTTAAAATCGTCATATTATGTAGATTAAAATACAACTTACCTACCTTTTTCTACCAAACAGCATTCATTTATTAAAATATGTTAATTTATCTCTGTATCAGTGATGTTCTCCCGAAAATAACAAAATTGTAAATAGTATAAATTTTAATAATCTAATCAATCTAAACTATTTTAAAATTTTAAAGAGAAAATAAAAACATAACTCTTACTTTAAATCTATACAAAATGTTGTCTATACAGTCTTTAAAATACTTTGCCACTACTGTTAGGGCTATATATTCAGTTTGTTCCTGTTTAGTTTCTTCTATTAATTTTGTTGCTATGACAAATGATACTAATTTTGATCCTTTTAATTTTATATGTTTACTTAAATCATCTAAGTTGGTTCCAATCAACTTTTTAAAATGTAGAAAAATAAATTTTGAACTTTGTGTAAATATTGGCCACATAGATTTTATAACTGCTACCGTAGGTTGATTTTCATTATTTAAAAAAGTTCGTTGTAAAGAATAATTTTTAACTAAATATTTCATTAAAATATTATCATCACAGTCTTTTAAGTCTACAAAATCACTCTCATCGCTATCATTTTCTTTTTCGGAATCCATTTCTCCTTCACAATTGGAACAACCTGCTCTAACAGTAATTTCTGCCTCTTTAATTTTGGTACATTGATGTCAATTTGTTTTTTATGTAGGCGATTTAGGTAGTTATTTCGATCAATAAATTTGGTCACCAATGATCCAATTCCATTACCAAAAATATTTCCATCTTCATTAACATCTTGAAATGAATTAGAATATTTATCGACGATTTGTTTTGCTATTTCTTTAAAAACCTTGATGGGGATGGTTTTTTTTATTTCCCTCATTTCGTCAACAATTATATTTACTACCCTGGAAGTAATAGATGATTTACGGGTGGTATTTTCAAGCTTCTCTAAGAATGTTTGTGGAAGTCTTTTCCATGGAATTAGGAATTTATCCCACAAAATATTATAATTTTGAGTATCCAAACTTTCTTCGGTCGACTTCTCTGAACTAAATGTAATGGTAGAATTGTCTGTATCGCTATTGTTTGGAACAGTAATTATTTGCATTTGTTCCGATTCGGGCATCCAATTTTCATTTTTTGTTACAAGAATAAATATTTCATTAGAAAAATACTCAATTTCCTCTTTTTCTTGTAAAACTGTGCCATCCTTTTGTAAGCATATGACATTTCCATCGATGTTTAATTTTTTCGATGCTTGTTAAACGATTTAAAAAATAAGATATGTATTATTAAAATTTAAAAGTTTATATGGTGCAAAAAAAGGATATATATATATATATTCATTATTAAATTTGTAACATATAGATATAAAGTACCATATATAAATTAAATAATGTGAAAAAATCACATTCAAAGTCTTCTTATCTCTTAAATATAACTGTACATGTCTTAAAGTGCACTTCGCCAATATTTTACTGGGATAAAAATATACTGCAGCTACTGGTTTATGTATTTATCTCGTAAACAACTGCAAATTCTTCATTTGCTTTCATAAATGCTAAATCTTTAACATACAAAAAGCTATATTTATTTATTTAAATTGGGTATTATTATTTACCCAAATCATCCAAAAGTTTAGGTAAACGTTTTGATGGTATACCAATGAACAAGTTTTTATTTATAATTTTACTGGATAAATAAATCCTTTGCAATAAAAAGCTAAAAAACTTACCTTCAAGTATGATTGTTTCATAAAGATTTGCTATTTCCTTCTTTAAAATCAGGCAAATCTTTTTGGATCTCTCTTGATTCCATATTTTATAGGCCATTCTTTCCATTTTAGTTCAATTTTTCTAAATCACATAACAAGTACGCATATATGTATATAAAATGTATTATGTATAAAAAAAATATTTTATAAGAAAATATTTGAAAATTTAAAATGTAATT